GGGCGGGCGAGAAGCGGGTTCGCGCCCCCGCTCCCCCCAGCGCAGATCTGAGCAGAAGGAAAAGCTGCCTTTACTCGCGCCTCTCCCGAGGCCGCCGCAGGGCGCCGGGAGCAGCCAATCCGGTTCCACCGCCGCCGCCGCCTCCTCCTCTTCTCCGGAGCTCTCCATTTCCACGCCGCTTCTGCGCAGCGGGAAGCCGGGGAAGCCTCGGCAGTGGCTGCCCCGGCTGGAAAGGCGGAGTTAGAGAGGAGGAGGAGGAGGAGCCCTTCCTTCCTTCCGACCGCCTCCGCTCTTCGGAGGGTGACAGCAGGTCTCTAAACAAGGGTTACCACCAATGTTCCCTCTAAGCTGTGGAGTCTTGTGAGCAAAAATTCTACTTTGTGAACTCCCAGCATTAAAGCTGTGAGCAAGCAATGTGGCTACTGCATAAATCAGTTTGCTCTGGAGCCATCGTTCCCGAGCTGAGAGGCAAAAATGTGTGAGCTGGAGGCTGAAAAACTGTGAGCTAGCTCACACTAACTCAGCTTAGAGGGAACACTGGTTACCACCAGGGCTCCTCTTTCTGGACGACACGTCTTCTTTTTTTAGGTGCCCCGTCCTCTTTGGGGCTCTTTTTTTTAAAAAGCCTGATGAAAATGTCCTCTTTTGGGGTTGGAAGGCTAGGAATATTCCTACTTAACAGCAATGCCCCCTCTAAGCTGTGGAATCTAGTGAGCAAAACTTCTACTTTGTGAGCTAATCGGCATTAAGGTTGTGAGCCAGTGTTAAGACCCTGGCTTAACAAAGCAGTGGGAGAGTGATTCAGCAAGAACGCAACTTTATTCTTCAACACGGATCAACATCTGATAGCCAGAATAGCCTTTACATTGCAGCTGTCCTGCTTTTAAACATTCCCGGCTAATGTAGCCACACCCACTGTATAAATACCAACCAATAAGGTTGTTCACATAATTTATTTATTTATTTATTTATTTATTTATCTTGATATACCGCCCTAACCCCCGTAGGGGGTCTCTGGGCGGTTTACATTTTTGGGTGCTAGACCAATCACGGATGTTCCCGCTCAGGGAGCTTGCTTGAAAGTGATTGGTTAGGTGCTTCCTGGGCTAGTAACAGGATCGGATGGATTTGCATCCTAGCCCAGGAGGAAGCTTTACATGTCACTTCAATTAGATGTTTCACGACATATCATGCATTCAAGGCAGCTTTGAATACACTACAGGAGCGATTTGGCTACTGCATAAATTAGTTTGCTCTGGAGCCCTCCTTCCTGAGCAAAGACAAAAATGTGTGAGCCGGAGGCTAAAAAACTGAGCTAGCTCACACTAACTCAGCTTAGAGGGAACACTGAATAACCCTACTAAAACTCTAATCCGGGTCAATTAAACCAGAGTTCACACAATTACTGTCATTTAACTTTCCCCTGGATTTTCCCAGTGCAGACGTGAATGAGTGTGGTTGCCAACCTCCAGGTTGGACCTGGAGATCTCCCAGAATGACAATTTCTTCCCACACCACATAAATCACTTCCCCCAGGGGTAAAAACGGCAGCCCCGGAATAGCATTATGCCCTGCTGAGCTCCTTCCACAAGCCCCCCCCAAAACTTCCAGTTTGGTGTAGTGGTTAGGAGCACGGACTCTAATCTGGGAGAACCGGGTTTGATTTCCCCACTCCTCCACTTGCAGCTGCTGGGGTGACCTTGGGCAAGCCATAGTTCTGTCAGAGGTGTTCTTGAAAAAGAGCAGTTTCTGTCAGAGCTCTCTCAGCCCCACCTACCTCACCCTGGTCCCTGTTGTGGGGAGGGGAAGGGAAAGGCGTTTGTAAGCCACTCTAAGACTCCTTTGGGTAGTGAGGGGCAGGATACAACTCCAATCTCCTCTTCTTCTACAGGAATGTCCCAATCCAGAGTTGGCAATTGTAGGATCCAGCTCAAAAAACTGTTTTAAAGTTCCCTTTCACCCTGGCTATCAGAATGGATTTTCTTGCTCCATCGAGGCACAAAAATGGCGATCCCGTGCTCCGCTTAACCTGCCCTGGTGTCATAGCAAAACAGGATGAAGCATTCCCATTTTTCTCCTGCTACCACAGGGGCCAAGACCGGCCCCATCAGTGCATGAAACGGCGAGCACACTGTAAATTCAGTAGCAAATTCACACTGAATTTACTACAGAGTGAACACATGTGCATAAAAATAAAGCCACACTTGGGGATTCTAAGCCAACCCTTTGACTCAGAACTAGAAACAAAACCCCAGTCTGCGTCTATATAAATAACAGTGAATCATGTGGTGGACTCAGTTCTGTCTTTCCCATGCTGCTCAGTGTGTGTGCGTGTGTTGGTTCATGTCCTGAACACACTATGTTTTAACAGCCTGTAAGCTGCGGTGGCTCAGAGGTTAAGACGCTGAGCTGCAGACTGGAAGTCCTGTAGTTCGGCAGTTCAAGACCGGAGTGCCACGTGACAGAGTGAGCTCCCGTCTCTGGCCCCAGCTCCTGCCAACCTAGCAGTTCGAAAGCAAGAAATCGCAAGGAGATAAATAGGTACCGCTTCGGTGGGAAGGTAAGAGCATTCCGTGTGCCTCGGCATCTAGTCATATCAGCCACATGACCACGGAAACGTCTTCAGACAGCACTGGCTCTTCGGCTTGGAAACAGAGATGAGCACTGCCCCCTAGAGTCGGATTCGACTAGCTTTCAAGCAAGGGGAACCTTTACCTTTTACTAAGGGGAAGTCGTGGAAGTAGTGACAGACTTCATGTTCCTGGGATCCCAGATCACCGCAGACTGTGACTGCAGCCATGAAATTAAAAGACGCCTGCTCCTTGGGAGGAAAGCCATGGCGAACCTAAACAGCATGATAAAAAGTAGAGACATCACCCTGCCAACAAAAGTCCGCATGGTCAAAGCAATGGTATTCCCAGTAGTCATGTATGGCTGCGAGAGTTGGACTATAAGGAAGGCCGAGCACCGAAGAATAGATTCTTTTGAACTATGGTGCTGGAGAAGACTCTTGAGAGTCCCTTGGACTGCAAGAAGATCAAATCAGTCAGTCCTAAAAGAAATCAACCATGACTGTTCCCCCTGGAAGGCCAGATAATGAAACTGAAGCTCAAATACTTTGGCCACCAAATGAGAAGGGCGCACTCACTGGAGAAGACCCTGATGCTGGGAAAGATTGAAGGTCAAAGAAGACGGGGACGGCAAAGGATGAGATGGTTAGACAGTGTCATCGAGGCAACGAACATGAAACGGAGCAAACTTCAGAGGACGGCGGAAGACAGGAAGGGCCTGGCGTGATCTGGTCCATGGGGTCGTGAAGAGTCGGACTCGACTGTGCGACTGAACAACAACAAGTACTGTAGGCCACAGTCCCACATCATTTATCCAAGTAAGTTTCTAGTTACTTTCTATCCAAAGAAGTAGCGTTGTTACTATTGGGCCAGTTGGCTGGAAGTTTATCCTGTCTGTATGTAAAGGGCCCTCAAGCCTCAGCTGGTTTATGGTGACCACATGGAGTTTCCAAGGAGAGAGACAATGGTGGTTTTGCCATGGCCTGCCTCTGCGTAGCAACCCTGGACTTCCTTGGTGGTCTCCCATCCAAGTACTAAACAGGGCTTAGCTTCCGAGATCTAATAAGATCAGGCTAGCCGCTGGGCCATCCAGGTGAGGGCAGTTAATCCCTACAGGGGTGTGAAATCCCTTCCATTTTGAGGAATTCCACATACTATACATGGAAACAGCTTCTGCGCAGGAAACAGCATAAAAGCACAATAATTTGTGGAACAGGCAATGAAAGGGCAGGTGTCGGTATCATGTAGTGCAGAGGTGTCAAACTCGTTTGTTACGAGGGCCAGATTTGACATAAATGTTACCTTGTGCCGGGCCATATCTGCCATAAAGTGAAATGCCAGGTACCGGAGATAAAAACTTTATAAATTGCACAGGCAAACTCAATGAATAGTATTATTTTTACTCAAAATACTAACAAAAACAATTTTATTTATTTAATTTATATCCCGCCCTCCCTACCGAAGTAATTGATTTACTGAGGAATCCACAAAAGCCCCAATAAATGTATTTAATCATATGCAAGACTAGGGTTTTTACAAGGGATACAATACCCACCCCACAGACATTTCCTTTCATTTTTTGACAGCTTCGATCACACACACCTCACTGTGTGTGCCCATGCGCCTGCTTCCCCCAATCAGTCTCCTGCCTTCCCTCTCTCACACCAGTTTCTTGCGGGCCAGATAAGAGCCCTAGACAGGTCTGTTCCGGCCCCCAGGCCGAATATTTGACACCCCTGATGTAGTGGGCAGATTAAGACCTGGGATTTCAAATCCTCAGTCAGCTATGAAACTTTCAGGGTGACCTTGGTCTAGACACATTTTCCCAGCATAACCCACCTTGCAGGGCTGTAGTGGAGTTAAAACCAGGAAAAAAACCAAGAATGAAAATTGCCGCTCAGAGCTCCAAATAGGAAGGTGGGAGGGGTATAAAATGCACTAAGTAGATGGGTAAATATGTATGCACGTGCCATCAAGCTGCAACCGATTTATGGTGATGCAGCAAGGGGTTTTCAAGGCAAGTGAGAAGCAGAGGTGGTTTGCCATTGCCTTCCTCTGTACAGCCCTCTTTGGTGGTCTCCCTTCCAAGTGCTTGCTTAGCTTCCGAGATCTGGGTATACCATCCCATTCCAGATCCAGGGCCAGCTCACTCACTAGGCGAACTAGGCGATTGCCTAGAGCGGGCCGGCCCTTAGGGGCGCCAAACTGCACCCAGCCCCGTACTCTGAGAGTTTCTTGATTATTTGTGTTTTTCATTCTTCCTAAAATGCATTTATTTTTTTAAAATGGCAGGTAAATTGGCAGGCGCGGGGGGGGGGGGCAGAAGGGATCCTCGCCTAGGGTGCAAAATAAGCTGGGGCTGGCCCTGTCCAGATCTCTTTTAAAGTCATACGTAGGTAAGTGCCTTCGACTTGCAACCAACTTGTTGGCGACCACTACCTTCCTCTGTAGAGCCTTCCTTGGTGGTCTCTCATTTGAGCACTGCTCCTGCTCAGCTTCTGAGATCTGATGAGAGTGGGCTATACTATACTGCCTTCCCTCCTTTAAAAGATGGGTATCAAAAGACAGGAGGCTTATTTTGATGT